ACCGCGCCGGGGCAGCGGTCAGTGCATCCGAGCTGAGGGCTGAGCTGCCTTCCTTCCCCGACACCCCTGTCCTAAGGGAGAACAGGATGGATTGACAGTGCTGGGCTCCAGCGGGTGATAGCACAGAAGGACGAGGAGCTGTGCCTGTGGAAACCAGAAGATGAGGAAGGAGACAAAATTCCTTTCCCAGTGAGGGATGGCAGCGTGGAATCGCGTATTCCCCGTGACATTGATCCTCCACAACAAGTGCAAGAAAACGTCTTCAGTTACAGAAACCACATTCAGCTGGAGGTTCAGGGAGTTATTTTTGGAAGCTCAGCGACTTCACTGAACTTCTGTCTAATAGGTGGGCCAATGCTGGTGTCAAGATTGATTTTTGCATTGTGGCATAATTGACTTTTTAAATGCATTTGTGTGGAAAAAGAACATGGAAGACGCTCCTCTGCCTCTATTGACCGTGCCAACAGCTCCCTACAATGACCAGAAACCAGGCACCAGTGGATTACGGAAGAAGACCTTTTATTTTGAATCCAAGATGAACTATTTGCAGAATTTTATCCAGAGTATATTTTATTCCATAGACCTAAGAGATCGACAAGGATCTTCTATGGTAGTTGGAGGTGATGGGAGATACCTTAATAAGTCTGCAGTGGAACTGATAGTCCAAATGGCTGCTGCCAATGGGGTTGGTAAATGTTAAATGCCTAAATTCCTATAGTTGTGTAGCTGATAAATGCAGAAAACCATAGTAAATTAGTCACTGTGAGATTTAATTTCCCCTATCCAATCGGTAATAGTTAACTTTTTAATGGGAAATCAGTTTGGAAGGACAGAAATTGCTGGTTTTCCACTTTTAAGTGATGTGGTTGGATAGAAGTATGTGAGAATACACGTGCAGCAAAGAAAAGAAATACTGCTTGGGGTCTGTGTGTGCTTGTTTTGTGTTTTGACATGCCACGAGCTATTGGCACCTGTGGAGTTCATAGTCTCTCTGTCAGATCCTCTTCAGAAGTGAGGTAACAGGTAGAGCCATGGCTCGCTGTTCCATGCAGCTCGCCAGAAGCTCTTTCAGCACTGGTCTGGGCTGCTCAGCAACCTAAAAGGTAAAACAAGGTTGTTTCTTTCCTAAAGGTTATACGTTGTGGTTGTGTGATAAATATACCAGGAGAAAAAACCCTTTGAAAATTGAAATGAGAGTTAGCAAGTGAGTGGTAACCTTTGCAGTGTTCTCCGTGTGGAAATCCGTGTTTTGGAAGCAGAACAGAAGGATTGTCTGTTTGCAGTAGGCTCTTGGGCACTGGGGTTTTGTCTTTGTTTTCTTCTCTCCTTGTGCTGAGAGACCTGGTTCTTAGGAATTTGTTTGACAGAAAAGCCTGTCTGATCACAACAAGGCAATAAGCAGTGACTGGGAGGATAGAGAGAATTATTTTGCTTTTTAAATCAAGATATTTTCAACCTTTTGGGGGAAAAAAAAAAGGCCTTTTGGCATTGAAAATTGATGTATTGCTTTTAAGTCAGCGTATGGGCTGAGCAGAAGAGCTGGAAAACGTGCACAAAGAGCCAGGCCTGCTGCCTGGACTGCGTGACACTAGGACAGAGCTGCTGGTAAAGGTGAGATTACACTGATCTTCGCCAGCTGAGGCTTTTCTCATGCGTTTCATTCCAGCCTTGTCTGGCTAAAATCTAGTTTCACTGCTGGTTCTGGTATTTCTTGTTGGTTTTCTACAGTCTGGCTAATACCTGTGACTATCAGCACTGTACTTTATAGAAGGCATGAGTCCAAGGATTCTTTCCAACATAAAAAACCATAAGGAGGGCATGTGTACTGTGTTTTGAGGATGTGAAAATCTCCTTGGGGGTGTGCAGCAGAGACAGGTACTGCTAAATCTACAAACGTGGGATCAACAGGGTTTCCAAATTGCACCAAGCACCTTGGTAGCATCACATTGTATGTTTTCAATGATGGTTATTTGGTTAAAGGAAATGACCAAGGTAGTTTGTCCACTTAACTGGGCTTGTATGAAGAGAAGTGTCTTTATTCAGAGACTGTAACTGTGCCACAGAGGATATAGGATTGGTGCATCTTGTGATGCATCTCTCTTACAGCAAGAGGACAGGAAGGATGTGCTGATGACACAGGGGAGCTGCAGACACCAGTTTCCTTGGCCTGGAAAATGTGTTTTTTTGTGTGAAAGTACCAGCTGGCATTACTGGGAAGAGGAGGGGGGCTCCAGGAGGGGCTCCTGTGTTGCCCGTGTGCATCTTAGTGGGGCTTTCAGTAAAACCAGGGTGGAAGTGTTGCCTGGATAGCTTTGGAAAGCTGTAACCCAGAATCACTGCAGAAAGTGGAATTGTTTGTGAATGGGAGAAGAGAAGGCTCTGGAGAAACCTTAGAGCAGCTCTAGTGCCTAAAGGGGCTCCAGGAAACCTGGAGAGGGGCTTTGGACAAGGGATGTAGGGACAGGACAAGGGGAATGGCTTGAACCTGCCCGAGGGGAGATTGAGATGAGCTCTGAGGCAGAAGCTCTTCCCTGTGAGGGTGCTGAGGCGCTGGCACAGGGTGCCCAGAGAAGCTGTGGCTGCCCCATCCCTGGCAGTGTTCAAGGCCAGGTTGGACACAGGGGCTTGGAGCAACCTGCTCTAGTGGAAGGTGTCCCTGCCCGTGGCAGGGGTTGGAGCTGGAGCAGCTTTAAGCTCCCTTCCAACACAAACCAGGCTGGGATCCTGTGATTACATCCTCAGATTTTTCTTGTGAGAAATTCCAGAAGACTGAAAAAGTGTAAATGTAACAGGCTCAGCAGGCTGCTACACTGAGCAACCTTTTCCAGGGGTTGCCATAAGGGATTTAGCATTGGATGGGTGGGAATAACAGCTGAAAACCTCTGAAAGCCAAGGAGAGTAGCTTGTACGGGGTTAAGTTTTCCTTCTTTTCCTTCCTCGCTGTGGGAGCAGCAATGCACAGGCAAAAGCTGCAGTTCAGGTGTGTGGGGAGGTCAGGTTGGGTAAGGACAAGGGACTTGATGTGTTCACCTGCTCTTCTGCAGCTGATGTGTGGTTTGGGAGGGAAACTCCCTTGTTTTGCCAGTCCTTTCCAGCATCCCTTGAGCTGCACCCAAGGCCTGGCAGAGCACTGATGCAGAGGGGTGTTGTGGCTGAATGTGACCCTTGAAGGGAAGCTGGGAAACAAAGGAATCTCAGAATCCCAGGTTGGAAGGGACCTCAAGGATCATCTCATCCAGTCTTCCTGAGCAAATCATGACCTAGACCAGACATCCCAGCATGTTGTCCAGATGAACCTTGAAGTCTTTAGTATTTTTTTACTTTCTAAGTTTATTGTCCATGTTGAACCTGATTAGAGAACAGGTATATCCAGACACAGTTCGAGGCAACATCTACTTTTGTTCCTGGCTGAGCACAGAGACAGCATCATGAGGATCAGCTTCACGTGAGCATGGCTACCCATCTGTCATTTGGATGTGCACCAAAGGAGTTTATATCACGTGGCAGAACAGAAAGTGTTTGCCCAGATAATGCTCCTTTTCTACCACTGAAAAGATGAAATTTTAGAGCGGAGCTTCCTGGAGACTGCATTAATTCTTGGTGAAGCTGAAGCACCATGACTTGGAGGCTGGGAAGGGTATTCACTTTGGGTGTGTAAGCTGCTGTTCCAGGTTTCTGCTCATTGTTTGGTAGGGATGCAGCTCTTTTGGCAGCACCTTGCTCACCCATCCCCTCTGTGGCAGCTGTAGCATGCCAGAACTGATTGGCAGTGAAGCTGGGGCTTAGCACCAGGCAGTGCCATGGGAGAGGAATCACAGTCATCCAGTGCCCTTAGCTTAGCACTGAACATGGGCCTTCAGTCTGGGGTTGCTCCCTTTTCTTTCCTGCTTTATCCTGTGTTTGAATGAAATTCCTCCTCTTTCCTCAATCATATAAAGGGTTTAATCTCTGTGGCTGCTGAAGAGTAATCTGCTATTCTCTTACATCTCTGTCACCTCATTAACGTAGCCTATGTTAAGGAACATGTTCTTCCAGATAAATATTCATCTTATGTTTTATTACATCAACTCCAGCAACCGGATCCTGATTACCTTGTATTGCTTAGCCCATTGGTCTGGATTTGATCTTGGTGATAGAACTAAATTCGTGGGAAGGAGGTGTGTTACCTGCTGCGAGTGAGACAATCTGCAGCTGGTCCCATGGCAACAGAGCTGATATTCAAGGTTTGGTTTGGTTTGGTTTGGCTTCTCTCAGTCCCATTGTGTCTTTTGAAAGCAAAGTTCAATACCACAGCCAAAGGGTGGTTTGCTGGGGTTTCTTCAGTTGCTGCTGAGATGCCTCTGGGAAGTTCAGCTCTTCCATGCAAGCTGGTGTTTGCAGTGGAGCTGCAGTGTTTGCAAAAGAGAATGCTAAAAATGCACAACAGAATCATAGAGTCACAGAATGGTTTGGGTTGGAAAGGACCTTAAGATCATCTAGTTCCAGCCTTCTGCCATGGGCAGGGACACCTCACACCAGACCATGTCACCCAAGGTTTTGTCCAACCTGGCTTTGACCACTGCCTGGGATGGAGCATTTACCACTTCTTTGGACAACCCATTCCAGCGCCTCAGCACTCTCACAGTGAAGAACTTCTTCCTTATTTCTAACCTGAACTTGCCCTGTCTCAGTTTGAACCCATCACCCCTTGTCCTTGCCCTGTCTCAGTTTGACCCCATCCCCCCTTGTCCTACCACTCCAGTCCCTAATGAAGAGTCCCTCCCCAGCATCCTTGTAGCCCCCTTCAGACACTGGAAGGGTCAGATGCTGTCCTTCACTGTACGTAGCAGAGAGCAGCAGCAGCCTCCCAGAACAAGCTGTCTGCTTGCAGAGAAGCACCTCTGCCATCAGCACACTCCTGGGGCTCTGCTTTACCTGTCACCGGTGTCTCCATATTCCATGGGTTTGTTGGGTTTAGGTTTTGGGACTCACAGGAGTTTCTTTTGCTCTTTCATTTTCAGATCGGCCGCTTGGTCATCGGGCAGAATGGCATTCTGTCCACCCCAGCAGTGTCCTGCATCATCAGGAAAATCAAAGCCATTGGTGGCATCATTCTGACAGCCAGCCACAACCCTGGTGGCCCCAATGGAGATTTTGGCATTAAATTCAATATTGCCAATGGAGGTAAGGTTGCTTCATTCACCGAATCCCAGAATGGTTTTTGGGTTAAAGGGACCTTAAAGCTCCTCCAGCTCCAACCCCTGCCCCGGGCAGGGACACCTTCCACTAGAGCAGGTTGCTCCAAGCCCCTGTGTCCAACCTGGCCTTGAACACTGCCAGGGATGGGGCAGCCACAGCTTCTCTGGGCACCCTGTGCCAGCGCCTCAGCACCCTCACAGGGAACAGCTTCTGCCTAATATGTAAACAACTCCACGTCCCTCTTGTGCTGTTCCCCAAAGCTGGATCAGGGCTGCAGGGGGGGTCTCCCCAGAGCACAGCAGAGGGGCAGGATCCCCTCCCTGAGCTGCTGCTCACGCTCTGGGGGTGCACCCAGCACGTGGGGGCTTCTGGGCTCATCCCACATTTCTGTTTGGCCATTTCTTGTGCTGACTCCAGGGAACCTGATTTAACTGTCTTAATATCACAGAGGTTCACTGTCCTGAGCAGTGGGTTTCCCTTAACAGAACAACTGACTGATCTGCTCCTCTCATATTCCTCTCCTAGGAAGGTGTTCCCAGTCCCAGGTCTTCTGCTGTACTTCTGAAGCGCACTCCTCTTGCAGTCTGATTCCTTAACATCTTCCCTCTTGCCCCTTTTATCCTGCAGGTCCTGCTCCTGAAGGTATCACGGATAAAATCTTCCAAATCAGCAAGAAAATTGAGGAGTATGCCATCTGCCCAGATCTCCAGGTGGACCTGAGCACCATTGGGAAACAGCAGTTTGACTTGGAGAACAAATTTAAACCATTTACAGGTAAAAGGCTGCTCTTCCTCTTGGAAAGTTTCCTTTCAGGTGGATTTAGCATGGGCCTGACATAAAGATATTTGGTGTTTCTGAAGGACAGACGAGGCCATTCTGACCTCTCCCCCTCATCTGTTGGTAAGTCAAACAGGGACATTGCTCCTGCTCTCCCTGGCATTCATTCCTGTCTTTTTTTGGCCTGCATCTTCCCTTGTATGGATACTTTAATTGTATCCCTGTTTCTGTCCTAGAGAAGGTTGGCTTCCGAAGGTAAACCTACTCCACCAAACTTCCCTAAAATCAGAGCCTGTTTTGTCTGTAAGGCCACCATTAACATGTGCTTGCAAATCAGACAGCTCTGCAGTTAAAGTGCATTTTCCTGATTAAAAATCCCAGTGTTAGTGTGTAATCTGTGTGACTGATTTCTCCTGCCATCATTTCACGTATAAAAGCTGTCTCTGAGTGGGAAAGCCATTACATTTCACACATGACTTTTGTCAGTCAGCAGCAAAACATGAAAATGCATTAAAAAGGCTTTTGAAGAGCACTTGCTGCAAGGATTTTTTTACCAGCTCCTGGTGCCCTGTGCTTGGAATTGGAAAAAGAAAGTAAATGAGGAGATTCTAACAGTTGGTATTTCTCTCAGTTCCCATTTCTGTGTGGTGGGATTTTTTTGTTAACAGAGTTTTCATGGCTCTGTCTTTATATGGCCTGTTAGTTGCAATGGTGCAATGTTTTCCAGCTATTAGGTGCACAGCTGCCATTTAGTTTGGTGGAAATCTGAGATCTGTTTT